CTGATAAACTAAACATATCACTAAATTTAAGTTTGTAACCACCTACTGGTTCTGTCTACCAACAATCACATATATTATGGTTGTTCAACTATTTTTCATCTCTATCCCCACTAACATCCCAAATTACCTATGAGGTCATGTATTATATTTACAATCCGACTTTGACCTAATTAGATACCTGTACATTTACAAAGTGAAATTAGAGTCAAAGCGCCGACTATTAATGTCTCAAGAGTAACCAAACTGGCGAGTTTATTAAAAAGAGGACGAAAAATTTAGTCTACAGTCAACAAGTGAATCACATATAAGTAATCCTGTATATGTGTACTGTACAACACAATAAAATTATAACAAAGAGACTTAATGGAGACACAAATTGGGGATTTAAGTATAACTGTGAGACAGTACTAACCTCACTATGTGTATATGTTCAATAGACAAACGTTGAGAAGAAATAGGGCTTAGTCTTTGATTTCAGTCAGTATTAATATTTTGAAACGAGAAATAAGTTGTAGTTTATACCTACCTCCAAAGATGTCGTTTTATCAACATTCAAATAGATAAATATAACACTGAATGAGAGTATGCGAACACTTACTTTTGAAATGAGAATGTCAGTGAAATGCATTGCAAAATAACAGTTAGAAGATGTGCCATTTTTACCACATCTAGCTTCGAATACTTCAGTTATCCAATGTTGTATATCAGCCAGACCCATAAATAAGAATAGTCGAAGGACTAAAAATAGTTTTATTTATGTTAACTCCAACGAAGAACCTCATATACATGTTAGATATGTTAATAGTCACATTTCATCGCATCATAATAAAAGTAGATAAGCAATCACAAACAAAATTTTAGATTTGTAAAGGTGCTGTCAATTAAACGGATAAATAATGATTCAGAGGGACGTCTAAAATCAGTGTTGTTAAAATCTTGAGGACTTCAATGTGACAGTTTCTACTTTCTGATTTTAGTTTAAAGCAAATGCATGACAGTTCCATTGAATTTTACATTGCAATGATCTAGGCTTCAAAGTATTTTTGTTATGCCGTAAAAAAACCACCACGACAGTTTGTAGAACCTAGGGTAATGGACACAATACAAACTGGACATTTCGGCCACTCTATTCAATAGTCTACCTACTTTACTGAAAGACACTTGATGGTGTTCTGGTGTAACTACTCAGATTACATAAGAAATTAGACCAAGACAAAAATCTCGCGGCATTAGTGCGAGGAATGAAGGCCAGGTTCACACCAAAACATGATGCACAAAGTTGGTCCAGTAGTTGAAATTAAAATTAGGGAATTTAAAACACTCAGACTATTCATTTTCATATAGAATGGCAGTCAACTCTCTACCTCAACTTCATCGACTTCGAAAAGGACTTCGACAGCCTTGACAGAGAACTAGCTTGACAGTTGTTTCAACACTATGGAGTGCCTCTAGTCTTTATCAACCTCATTCAACAGTTATAGGAAAACGCCACATACCAAATGATCAACAATGGATAGCTCAGTGACGCCTTTGAAGTGAAGATAGGGGACAGGAGTAAGACAAGGCTGCCTACTATCTATCACCCATCATCTTACTGATTGTGGTCGACTCGATCATGCAGCGAACCGTGAGGAGTGAGAAGATGGGCATACACTGACTGGACCGATGAAAAGACCCTCAAAAATTTGGATTTCACCGCTGATCATGATTGATGTCTAATGTCTTGTCGCACAAACTCGAAGATCTACATAGGCAAAAGCCAACAAGTTGACAGAAGAGGCAGGCCAGCGAAGACGGGACTTCAAGTGAATGTAGAGAAGACGGAGGTGATGCAGATACCCAACCAACAACAGCATCAACAACAAGCCCCGATAACCATCAACGGCAGCAACCTAAAGGAATTAGTCTCTTTCACCTACCCATGCACCTAAGCAGCATCCTTTCAACTACAGGCGGCTCAGGCACAGACAAGGATGTCAAAACCAGGATTGGAAAGACAGCAAGACAGGCTTGCATTAATCTGAAATCAGTGTGAGATCTACTCAAATGCACTCAGCATCACGCGTGAACGAGATCCGGATTTCCAACACCAACGTCAAGTCAGTGCTGCTGTATGGTTCAGAAACTTGGCGTGTCACGAAAACTACAGACATTCATCAACGCCTGTCGACGCTGGCTCGATACTGAAAATCAGATGGATGGCCAGAAAGAATAAACTACATGAAACTCCGGCCTGGCTGGCAATGAACCAACCAACAAACTATCACCCAAAAATATGCAGAAGGAAGTGGAGATGGATTGGATTGCGCATGCACTGAGAAGGCCGACTGGAGACATCACGCTTCAGGCCAGGCCAGGCCGCCGAGTGGAATCCGAATGGGAAACGACAAGTTGGGCATCCAAGGTGAGGGTGACATATAGGAGATCGTGTGAGGAAGAAATGAAGGCTTATGGGCAGTTGTGGCTCCAGGTTGGAAAGAGTGCAGAGAACAGAGTGGAATGGTGACGTGCTACTGAAGCCCTATGTTCCACTGGAAGCCAAAGGGAAAAATAATAATTATTATGCATTTTGTTACAAAGAAGGCTTTTTCAATCTTCAAACACTATTACTGAACTTCTGTGAAGAAAAGGTTAACGTAGGAAACGACGCTTAATGATTGTTGTTGGGTGAATAGCATTAACTGTCCTATAAATTACTCCGTAGAAATACAGAAGAAAGGACTGAAATCAAGGAAATATGTTTGTGTATTTTAGACATAGAGTTGCGAAAAATGATGAGAATGCCCACACGATTATTTGAGCATGACTAATTTTAAAATAAAACCACAGTAATGCATAGCCAAGGCAGTCAAATCTTTCAGGTAGCTGATTTTGTCACAAATACATAGTAAATAAGCAGACTGCGTCACATATCGATGACGCTTAGCAAACCTTCTTTCTGGTTGGTTAATGTCTGTAGAAAAATTAAAGAAAAACCCTCAAACAAATATGGGATATTCTAGTGTGTGATAAAGTTAAATATACTGTGAAGTTGTCAAGCATTTATATCGGTATTTAGATACATGATAGATTTAAAACATTCTAATGTCTGGTATTATTAGATTTCATTACAAATACTACAAAAGGAAAGAGTATTTAATAGTAAAATGAGAAGACGTTAAGAGATAGCGAATTTCATAGGCAATAAAATACAGGACTGGCAAACAAAACTCCTAGGTTACATATTAAACGAGAAAACTAAGTTTACAAAAATAGATTTAATGGTCACCATGTCACTGGAAGAAGTTGAGGAGGTGAAGGAAATTTGAAGTACAGCTAAGTGAATACTTAATACATTTCTGCAACGACCGTATTTTAATTGATGCATTAAAAAACCAATGGTTTAAAATCACCAAAGACCGTAGGTAAAATAATTACTTGAACGTCTGCTATGAGATATGCTGATGGAAAACTACAATTATAAATGCTACACTTTTTCCACATAACGACAGTACTAGTTAAATGAAGGCGTTCGGAAGGAAGCTCTGGACCTAGGTTTCCTGTCTTCTGACACTGGTCAGCAAGGCGTTTCTGGAACCTCTGGGGGATTGATGTCTCTCTTGAGATCTGAGCCCACGCCACCCTGTGTTGCAATCAGTGAAGTTGCCACTGAGCTATTCGGACCACGATTGACCTCCTCCAGGACTGAATTACATACAGTGATTCGTCACTAGAGAGCAACCAATTTCATTCTGTCTAGTCCTGATTGCTAACCAAATAATATCAATCATTTTGCAGTGTGGTCACCAAGCTATAAGCCCTATATTGCGGTGGAGTTTGTTGGATGTTACTTGGCTGAAGCCAATTAGTAAGAAGCTTGGTGATCACATTACAAAATGATCGGCAGAATTCTGTCACCACTAAGAACAAGACATCATGAAATTGGTCTCTCTGCAGCGACCACTCAATGAATATAGTGAAAGTATTCCTACTATGCATTTATCTGTGATTACTTATATTCACATCCCCTGATTCGGCCACGTACTAATTAGTAGATGCAATAGTTGAGTGTAAATGTGTCATTGTTAAAGTGCTTTTATAAGGTAAAAAGAAGTATTCACCTGAACTTACTCTTGATGGTGAAGCGATTAAAAAAATCTAGAGTCTTAAGCAATTAGTTGAACTTGTGAGCAGTTTTGGATGTGTAGCAGGTTAGACAGGCTTTGGTATATGGGCAAAAATAGAGCGCATACATCAGTTTCAATTGTCTTTGGCACTGTCTTAACTTCAATTTGACTTCGTAAGGTTACTTGTGCAATGCTTCAGCTAGATGTGTTGAATTATACATGCCTGGTACCTAGTTTATTCAAACTGCCACTACCTTCTCAAGATTGCTCACACCTGATGCATACTTTTCAGCCTGATGAAGGTTATTATTCAAAAAGTGGTTTCACAGTGAGATACTGGCTTCAATAGTCAATACATACTTTATGCATTTCGTATTTTCCTGTAAACGTAGGGATGGTCAGCCTATGATTTGTTCCGTAAGCTGAATGAGGTTATATTGGGTTATCGTTTGCCGATACTTCACGACTTTCTAAGCAAGACCTAAGAGGTTATGCGATTCGGTTATTTAGGACGTTCAGATGTAGCTCAGAATAAAATGCACTGAGTGTTATGGTCTGCTCCATCTTCAGTGATCATTTCTTCATCCGAAAGACCTCTTTTCCTTTTATGACATCATTAGATCGTTTCAAGTAGCAAATTTCTTAATTCCTATACTGTATAGAAAATGTGTTTTAAAAAAATACAAAACTATTTGTCCAGTTAAAATTACAAAGGCATTTGGCGCGGGTATATGGTTCCTATAGTTTATATTAGCTCATGACACACCTTAAGTACACATTGCGTATGGAGTAAAATATAATTGTCTTCAGGATAAAATTGTGGATACAAATCCTTGTGAACCATGACATTTAAGTAATATAATCATTTCAATTTGTAAAATCATGAAAACTTACCAGCACATATCAGATTATTCAACTCTGGTTTACCATTCTTATACACAGAGCCCAATGCACCTCCTGTATCTCGAAAATCTCTTACAGGTGGTCCACTTATCTTGCTCGATTTACTTACTTCATTGGCCTGTGCTGACAAATCATCAGACGAGGATAAAATTGATCTTATCCAACCTGTAATTTCTCGTATACCATGAAATTTGCTCAAAAGAAATGCTTGACAATCACCAACGCTTGCTACAACAACAGCAAATTGACAATTACCAACTGCTGGTACAGGTTCATTAGATAATGAATCCGATTCATTTCTCTGCGTTGCTAGTACAGGTAAAACTAGTGCAACGCAAAGAGTGGTCAAGCCAGTGGTAACAGAAACAATCTCTTCTTGTGCAAAAGAAAACGCTTCAAATAATAGTTGAGCAGCATCCTAAAGAGTAGATAAAGAGCAGTAAAAAGGAAGTTCGAAGAGTGCACTCATATATATATATATATATATATATATATATTTGTGTTACGCAACTAGGAATTTGATTATAACTAGTATGACGAAGTAAGAAGACAATGAGGGTATGTTTGATAGTCAGTATTATTAAAACTAGTATGTGAGAAAAAGACATAGAACGCCTAAGTTCGTCAGTCCATCTTAATGGGGTGATTAGCGGTTACTCAAACGGTCAACCTTATACCGTTTTTCCCTGATGACGAAATAGTCACACTCACCGCCTAGTGGTCATTCAGCTACGCTTCGTTTAAGACAGTCTAGTTTTTGTATACCTATCCTTTTCACAGGCACCTATGAAATACAGAACAGCAACTTTATACCGCTTCTGATGTAAAAGCATAGATGTTATATTTTGTTGGCTTAAATCAGTGAGCTTTATGCTTGGGAGAAAGTTTGGATGTTATGGGTGCAGTGCATCACAGTAAAGTCAAGCATCTGCTATCCAGCATATAATAAACTGAATTTTGATTGTTTCTCCGAATTCCAACATCCCATAAAAATCGAGTAAGTCTGTGTACGTTTAGCAGCACGTGAACATTGGAACCAATACATTCTTAGCATATCAAAATAATAAACAGTCTTCTACTAAAATATGACAGAGTTGAACATTCAACGGGTGTCGATTACGGTAGATGAATGCTTGTAACTGGTACCACAGGTTGGTCTGGGGAAAAACTACTAACTTATGTATACTTCTAGCCATTCTATGACGTCATTTTTGCTGTGTAAGGGTTGCATAATTAACTTTCGACTTACTAATTAACATAAACATTTAAAAATACATATATTTTAAGTAGTATGTAAGGAATAAAATGTTGTCAAGTACTCCGATCAGCAGATTGAGAAAACACCAAAGTGAAAACTATTTGCAAGTCAAATATAAAGGCTTTGAGTGCATAACCGAGTGGTGAAGGCCTACAAAATTTTTTTCAAAGCTTTGTTATTAAGCCCCAAGTTACCAGTTTTAAAAAAAAGCTTGTTAGGTAAATTCACTTGACCTCAATAACGTTAAAGGATATACTCAGATAATTTTGGTCTTTAAAGGATACTTTTTGAATAATCACTGAAAACAAATGACCACTAAAGGACTACATTATCGTTTTTGACACTCATTCCAAACAAGCATAAAAATCTCTCATAGAGAAGAAACTAGAGTGCTCGGAAAAACCCACTCGTTGATCAGAAGTTCTAGTTAATGTGTTCACGACTTTCATTGTTTCACAGTTCGGTGTTGTGATTACTGCGGTGAACTGATCTGATACTCTAAGTTTGCACGACCAATAGGTCAAGGGATAGAAGGAAGGAAGGATTGCCTGCAGTGTGATTCGATACTTTGGTTAAGAGTTCAAACAGTTCACTTTTAAGGTGGTGTTCACCACAGACTAGCACTAGTTTTAGAACCACTGAAAGCCTGGGAGCACTGGACAGCTGTTTCGTCCTAGTCAAAGACTCCTCAGCTGCATGCACCCATGATCCCATCAGGGATCATACCCAGAACCTTCAGGTTTCACGGAGAACGCGTTAACCATACAGGCAATGGGTCGGAGTTCACCGTCAATTCATGATGAATATTTCGTTAAAAATAAAATCCCCATGCGCTTTGAAACACATCACTGTATAGTCCACACTAGTGGTATGCTTTGGGATGGACATCCCCAAGTTCTTATGAGAAACCATAACCTGTGGGGTCAATCAGTTGGAAGTGAAGCCACTGCCAACTGAAGACACTGCGGACAGTCGCACTATATTATGAACTGATAGAATTAGGAAACTGTGAACCAATTAACTCTGAACCACTATCTGAATGGTTATCGCGTTTTGTATGAAAATTGAAGGTCCTGATTTCGGTTCCTGGCAGAGTTGTAGGTGCGCACTGCTGAGAAGTCCCGTACCAGGTTTTTAGTAGTTCTCCAACTGACGAATACTACCTTCAAAACAAAATCCTCATCAATCTCAAAGTATATTAGTGCATTTTTGTCCATATCATCAAGGATTTAATCAATGTCTATCTGTCTGTCTACTCATTCTTGACTTTGTAGACAGTTTCAACTATATAGTTTATCACTATTAGCATTACGTCACATTGTGTCTAAGTGGAGAACAATTCATATTATATAATCAAGCAGTTAAGTGGATAACCTGTTATCAAGTAACAGTAGAAAGCTTTCTGTTTTCATCCTGAAAGTATGTGGTCAAATCAAAGACGAAAATAAGAAGGAAAATATTTCAAAAATATTCCACTGAACAAACTTTTATCCTAAATTATAAAAAGAAACATTCTAAATTTCAAAACGAATAAAAACAACACTTGGATTTGTTTTAAAATATTAGACTGAGCTACAATACGTTTAAGAAATGCGATCTGTACCAGATATCGGATGGAAAAATCATGACATAATGTTCCACAACAAAGATCAAAAGCAGGTGCTTATTAGTTTTTATCAGATATAGGGTACTTTTTCATATGAAATTAACCACATACAATCACAGTTCAAACATTGTTAGTTGTATATGTCTCCTGGATTTAAGCTTGTACTATGGCAAAATGATCAACTATACTGACAAAAGTATACAGAATGAAAGTATCAAATTACTTCGGATAATTTATCGATAAAATTTTCGAAATAATGAAAAGAAGCCAAAATTATCAACAATTCTGTATACAGTGCCTTTCAATTCAGTATTATGATGTATCAGCGGTAGTGAATAGAAGTAGTAATGATAGTGTCAGCATCATAACTAGATGATTAAACTGGAGTATATTTTATAGCATTTGTGTAAAAAAACAAACGCAAAAAATATGCATAAATAAGACTGTCAATTCCCATACTATACCGCAGAACTCCCATTTTGAATGCAGTGTTATGTTGTAGAGGAACTTAGTTGCAACCTAAATGATCAGACCCCAACTTATTGATACCATGAGGTTGGAATCCTTAAGCCTAACAATATTTTAGGGTGTGATGACAAATGACAAAGACTGTGAATTTACGATGACTATCTAGAAACAATCAGTCTAAACAATAAAACAGTTAACCAATGACATAAAGACAGAAATCCATACATGCACCATTTGATAGTATTTATTTTGATGTTAAATAAAAGTCCGAATATTTTGCTGGCGAAACATTCAGAAAAATCTTGTTTTCGATTTTTTAAAACTTGCCTATATAGTGAACAGTCAATGTTTGAAGAAAAGTACGTTCATAGACGTTTACATAAAACATCAATTAGAAATTAACGAAAGTATTTCAGAAAAGCTTAGAAATCGCACTAGCAAATTATATAGACTTTCAATGAATTCTGTAAAAAGACACAGTGAGATTTAAATCAAGTATTTGATCTCTCATTGCCGCAAAATCAGCTGCCTATGCTCGATACTGAAGATCATATAGCGAGAAAGAACAAGCAACAAGGAACTCTGGCCTGGCAACGAACCAACCGAGAACCTACCGTTCGACAAATATGTGGAAGAAAGAGGAGATTAGTTGGATTGGACATAAACTGAGAAGACCATTTGGGGACTTTACGCGCCAGGCTAGGCCTTTGAGTGGAACCTAAATAGGAAACGACTAGTTGGGCGTCCGAGGGTAACATGGGGGAGACCGTGTGAAGAATAAATGAAAGCTTGTGGGCAGTCGTGGAGCCAGGTTCACAAAACTGTACAGAACTGAAGCTCTGTGTTCCACTAGGAACCCAAGAGACAAATAATAATGAATAAACTGGTGGCTATAAGATGAGTAAGACTCAGTGTCAAGCATAGTAGCAATAGGAATATAAAAGTGATGTTTTGAATGGATCAGTTAATGTCTCCAAATATCAGAATCCACCAATCCACAAATCTTGATGTTCCAGTGTCATTTTTTGGAAGGACTTGAGACTGCGCTACTTCAATTAACTGACTAATTTGTTTAGTTCACAATAACAGCTAGAGAGCCAAGGAAGTTATCCAACAGAAATATCTTCAATTTATCACAGCGGAAAACTTATTTATAGAAACAAGCATCTTAAGCATAACAGGACAATTTGATAACACTGAAATGATGGAAAAACTAGCAGTTAGTCCGGTCATCTGATAGGCACAAAAGCTAGTCTTTATTATTAGTAAGTAAACAAGGATTATTTATCACTTCTAGACGATTACTTATCAAGTCTCATCTGCTGTCCTAACTTCAGAATAAACAAAGCCTAAATCTACAAAATCTATTATGCATCATCCACATCGAGTGCCAACTGACATTATAAATTATCTGCACGTCAGTCCTTTGAGTCCATGTTACTAGAGAATAGCAACCTCGTGCCATACATTCTTTTAAATTGCTAGTGAAAACCAGTCCTGTAGACTAGTGGCTTTGTTGGATGATGTCATCTAGCAGCACAACAAGTAAATGAATATTGGTCAATGTAGACATGGTATGAAAGGCAACTCACAAGCAAGCTATATGTATAGGCAACATTATAAGATACACTCATCTACACAGAATTCAGTGCTATGAAAAACCTCATACATAATTAAAAGTGAAACCTAGCTATTCAGTTAGTTTGAGAACTAAACAGAAAAAATCACAAATAATCGGGCAGGGTAAGTATGACTTGTGAGTCATGGAACCACTGTGTCACTAGCACAAGGTTAGAGCGAAAAAAATTAGATCATAGAGGTAATTCAGATAATGAAGTTGTGAATCTTCATCGACTCAGATGTCTGAAGTGTGTGTTATGCGTAAACTGTTACCACCTGCCAGTCACATGATGTTAACTCAGTTAGATTTGGTCTGAAATGAGTTTAAACACAGCCAGATGAAAACATGGCATCAGGTGATGGTTGTTTTAAATCGTGTAAGGAAATGTAGACTTTCTGGATGAGATACGTCTTAAAAGTGGAGTCGCTGGTTGAATACCCTAGGCGGTATGGCTTAAAATTGGAATCACTGTCGTAGATGCATTCTCACACCAACTTCTCAATACTATTGCCAAGTTCTGTTGTTTTTCTTATCTCCTCGGCATTTCTTTTTACGACTGGCTAGTACATTCGATTACCTTTTCTCTTTTCCAATTTACTTCATGCTGCTGCCTTGTATCTTGACATGCCAGGTTTATGTTGATGTTTAGTGACTGACTGATGACCTGATACTAATTTTACCATGATGGATCCGACAATGAAACACTAGAGGAGAAAAAAATGATGCAACAGATTTGTAGCTCAGGATGAGGAAGTTTCATTATTAGGCTGAAGGAGCCACCAAGCCTGGTGACAAAGCGTCAGCGATAAAATATCAAAGCTCAGAGAGCATCAAACCACTATCCCTAGAAGAGCAAGAATAAGCGGATGAAGACAAAATTAGTCTTAATAAGATACCTGAAAATTAAAGCAGGTTTAATAATGGTTTCACATAAGGGTGAACTTGGGCACTGTGGTAGATTGTAATTCCATTTTCCTCTGCCTAACAGAAATGTCATATAGTGAAACAGTATTATTTACTGGATAACATTTCGGACGCAATTTATTGTCCATATTCATAACAGGTGACTCCACAACTTTGAGACAGTTTATATAGTCCTAACTTTCTCTTCTTTATGATAAAGGTAGTAGAATTTTTCACATATCTGAGACAAGTTTAGAATCATTTCTATTGCATCGATTTGATGTTGATTCGATAAACAAAGATTCATCTACCAATCTCTCCCTCCCCCTAAGTTTTTAATACTGTCGCTATATCCCACCCTAGTGTGTGATCGTGTGTAATTGCATCCAGAGCTATAGCCGAGCATTTTTCTAAATTTCTTATCTTATTAGGATCTAACAATCTTCATTTAGCGAAGGTTTTATGTTCTGTTATTGTCATTGATATGGTAAACCACTATGACCTATGTATTTGACCTCAAAATCATCGCTAGGGATTTCGTCAACCAAATTAGTTTGAATAATTAAATCAATAAGATATCTTAATCTACAAAACTTGTTTCTATGCGGGTTTGTTTGTTTTAAATGCTATTTTAATCCCAACTTTATTGAAAATTCTTCGTAATGCTTCTTTCTATTTTAATTAATTAATTTATACATTTAGATGGGTAATTATTGAGATGAAAGGTATCCATGTTGTGTCTAATTTCTTATCGATAAGAAAAAGACTAGGTTCACCTATTAGCAAGCAAATAAAAAGTTTAAAACTGACTGAGAATAAATATCAGAACATGATGTGCCACCTGTGTTTTGCAAACATGATTTTCCATGAAAGACTCACAGAACCGCATACAAATAAAAACAATTTTGACAATGGATTTAGACAGGGAAGCGTTCATCTGACCAAATACATCTTTGCATAAACAGCTTTGGGTGATTGAAACAAATATGATACGAAAATTCAATATCAATGAACATAATGACATGGAATTACTGCCACATTCCTAGACTTTGTATCTTCGATGTAAGTAGACGATTAGGCAAGTAGTTTCACTTAGCAGATGATTATCGTTTGGAAAACAGTTAGCTTTGGAGTCGCCAAAAGCTGTAACAATGGTGATTAGCATCAAAACTTTTATCTGGAAATTGAGTTCTTTGCTAGAGACTGACCAAAGTTTGATATCAACTGGTCAACCCACAGAACTCCTAGTAAAATGATAAAGAAGTTTTTAGATGTTGTCCCTCACAAATCCTATCCAAATTCATGATTTTCGACTGTTGAGGTTAAATATAGAAAACATTACAGAATGATTGCTAAACAAACACACATTCTTACTCTTGTATTTTTGATATCGTGTTTATGTTTCATGCAACCAAACAAATGCGATTCCAAATAAGCATAAATAGCTAATACTGCAGACCGTGCTGCTTTCATTGACTCATTGCCCCAGTTCACTCCATCTGCAACTGCTAAATACGCCGAATTATGCCGAGCTCGTACAACAAATGCATCAGCGATTGGACCACCTGAAATGATAGGAATATATAAGTTATGGATTATCATTATATTAGACTATGTAATGAAAATTCACAAAAGAAAATTCACCAAGGAAAATTTTCACTTCGACCAGTCACTTTCAAAAGCTATACATCTTAATCTTAGTCACAACAATATATATAGCCATCAATGGCTAATGGGTCAATTCAAGGTCATCAAAAAGGTCAATAAAGTCACGAGGTGACAACGACTTTAAAGTCAAATCAAGGTCATGAAAGTTTGCTTAGTTCATTTTATTAATACTCCGAATCTTGAAATAGGTTATGAAGTCGCTAAGTAACAGTATGAATCTGGATAATCATACCAGTTAGAAAACTTGTGTTAGTGCTATAAATAGACAGCTTTGAAAAACAGCATCTTAAGAGGTCTCCTCAAGTCAAGTATTGTGACTGCAACAGCTTTTAAAGTAAACAAAAAGCCATTCCAAATGCATCTTTTATAGTATGGTGACAGATAATAAGGCCTGTTTTCAGAGAATAACCGAAAGTGTACCGGTTTATTATGTGTATATCTGAGTATATTGAGCCAAACGCCTCTGGAATCTTGTTAGACAGTTTTCAAACGACCAATCTAAGTTAGAAAGCTTTAGATAACTAGCTTGTTGTTACATAAGAGCCTCCTATCTCACAGTTTATATATTGATCAAAATTTAAACTATGGTTTTCAAACTCTGTGAAAACTAGTTTACTATGCGAAAGTGTTGATCTTGAGTTCTGAAGTGACATCTTTAACTGTACTAAACTTAAAATATTGCTTCAGTTGGCTACAAGAGTTATAGATTTCACTTTTTTAAAGAAAACTAGGACTATATTAAACATTGAAATCTTACGTTGTTACTTGAAGCTATGTAGAAATAACAAGTGAGAATGTAGTGAAAAGGGTTATTTCAATTCTTAGAAGTACGTTTATTGTATGCAGTTAAAGTGTCTTAAAAATGACAAAATAGCTAACTAATACTTTCTGAGTTTTACTGCTTATTTAATCCATGTCAAACTGTGGTTAACATCAGCATCAAGCATACTTGAAATTATCACTCGGCAAAAAACTGATTTCTTTCCTTTTGTCATAAGAAATCCATCGACGCTTGTTTTTCGAACCTTTGCATTGAAATTAAAATCAGCAGGTGAAGTAAAAAGAAATTAGATTCAAACTACTCAGCCAGTTTTCAGTAGATAAACCAACACAGAAAAATCGCACAACTAGAATTATGTTAACAAAATATTTGGAAGATTATTTCATGTCCAAGTAACTTCGTCGTACCTCATTGATTCTAATAAGTTTATGTTATATATGTGTGTTTTTGTTACAAATATGATTAATAATAAATGAAAATGTACATTTTTCATAATTTTCACATGGTATGAAACGCAAGAAAACTCGAATGTTATGTGAACTGATAAAATTCATTTTTGCGTGCAAAACTTTTTTCCTCTATACAATATGAAGTAATTGCTGTTAGTCATCGGAGATTGTTTAACATTTGAAACCATCAAAATGAATAGACAGGAAAGTGAAGACCTAATGTTTATTCAGCTATTAGATGTGTGAAATAGTACAGACTATTAGGGATATTTTGATCGATGTTCTCTCCAACGATGCTTGAATATTAAGCAGTCAAAAGGTGAAGGGGAGAAGAAAACGTGAGGTGAAATTGTTATGCCAGTATGCTCTTATACCCTAGAGCGTGATATAAAATACAAAACAAACACTTTGGAACTGTAAAGAAACTATATTTAGATATCAGGAAAACTGAAGGCTAAAAAATTGTAGTGATTTATTTATGACTAGAAGTTGTATGTTCATATTATTGCTACCAATGGATAAAATCAACAAATAGAGTTTGTACCTAAAAAAAGAGTAATTAAGTCCTGAAAGGAAAACAACAATATTCGTGGAAAGTTTTGGTAAAATTATACTTTGGTTTTCTAGATTTTAGTTGAAAAATCACCTATACCGGTGCTTGAAATATAAATTAAAATAACCTTTTAAGTATAGTCTTCATTACAAAAGGATAAAACTCGAGTTATTGACTCCTTGGAAGTATGAACCGTTTATCTGCTTCAATCGTGAGCCCAGGAATCCGAGGTTTCTTGATAAGTACGCTATCATTGGGATCTTAGTTAAGTATTGCATAATTCAGTGTCTCTTTTATAGACCCATTCACCACTTGTTATATCCTTGTAATGACTGTTTGGTATAACCTGGTAGTATAATAAAGGTGTATTGCAATGTCAAAAATATATACCAAATACAAGGGCTTACATATATTTAAAGTGACCCTGAATACTTCCAAGCCTTTCAAGATTTGAACGTTCTATTGATTCTCGTCCCTTCAACCAATCTAATATTTACACGTTGGTTCCTGTGCTTTCTCTCAAAATTTCGATAGAACATGATTGGTTGTAGAAAGCTTTTAGGATTAAGGGTTTTTTCTAAAGCTTATAGCAATCTTATTCCACACTATACAAAACAGTCAGTACGAGGATATAATAGTCTCAGGCTTTAAGTCTCCATATAGACCGATATGTCTTTAAAGTTTTCATCGTGCATAATTTCTCACTGTGGAAACAATACAGATCGGTTGTCAAAAACTAATGAAGTGGCGTTAAAGCACTAGTACCTATGATAAGCGCTTATCTTTAATGTTCTTCTGAGAAAGTGAATGTTCTATCAGTATGACTCCTATAATTGTTTTCCCATTAACCATCAGTTAGTTCTCCTCGCTTGTGTAGTCTAAAGAAATGTTACGTATGTGATCAGTATTAGTTTGAGTTATTTCATTTATCTGGTCACTATCAAATTTGTTTGGTCTCACTGACTACTTATCTCCACTATCAGTTCCAGAATTCCTGTAATGATGAAATAATTATGAAGAATAATTCCAATAGACAATATATATTGATTAAATTTGCAAAAAAATATGTACAGAGAAAAATAAGTATTTTGGTTATTGGTCTAGAAATGGTTGACGTACATGAATGAAATAGCTTACTATTTATCCGGTGCTTTTAGTATTTATTAGAAGTTGACTTGTAAGTACTTTAAGCATAATCCTTTTACGGAAGTTGTCAGTTTACTTATTTCAAAACAAAAATAATCAGCCCACACAAAATTGAAAGCAAATTTTATTGAAAACACTAATTTAATTTCATTTGAAAAGAACTAAATCATTCATTTAAGGAGGTTTGCAGTGATGTTCAGATTGTATATGAACCATTCTATTTCTTTATTTAGACAATAAAATAAATTTCTCCAGGAAAATTTCTTTCTAAAGTATATTCATTGGTTGTTTCAAGTTTTCAGAATGTTAGAAAATACAAACAGAGCACAATTAAATTAATAAATTGAAAAACAACGAAGGATTCAACGTATCTACTCACTCATGAATCTATAATTCAATCCTCTAACTAATCAATTAGTAGCAGAGTAACAGAAATACCTTAGCTTCAATTATTTACTGTCATAAAAGATGTTTCATTTATTGTTTCTCATCTTGTTTTGTATATAAAAACAAGGCTTATTAAGTAAATAAGATTTGTAATTTGATAATAAATTAAAGTCATTTGTTTAACGAAGAACAAAATGGTATAATACATATTACTGTATGTTTAACAGGTAAACTGTACTTTTTATTTAGGGGTTTACTTTCAAAACGAAAGAGATAAAAAGTAAATTCAAGAGTATCCATGAACTTCAAAATTTAAAGTACATACATTTGATGATACTTTCTAAAACTTAAATCAGTAAAACAATATGATATACTAAAGCAATGATGGTCTGAAAGGAAGCAATTGAGCAGGATTTAGAATTCACCCACTGATATTTTAGAAATATCTATAAGTAGTATTAAAATTACAAGTTAAATATTTTCAGTTTTATTTTGCTTAACAATTCTTCAACTTTCATATTTTCCTGGGTTATTGGACAGTAGAATAGGCCCAGCAGTTTATTTTGATAAAATAAAACAATAATAGCTAAAATGTCTTGGAACCCCTCTAAGGTTGGCTAAAAATGGAAAGTGAAAACATGCCTTTTACATAGGTCATTCTTGTTGTTTATTATGTGGTAAGGTCATTCTCAATAATTGAAGTTTCCCCACTAACCACTCTGACAATTGAAATTTTCATAAAATATCTAATTACTACCTATTGTTAAAGAACAACGGTTACAGTACAAGTAAATGAATTATGTGAAACCACATACAGGTAAAAGCAATCCCTGAGTAGTATATGCAGCAGTTTTTAATAGAGTTCTTAAGGTAAAGATGATTGAATAGAGACCGTTTAACCTTATGAGTAAGTAACTTATTGGTGCTTCATAAAGAAGAATATTTATCGTATGGGATGCAAATCATCACCTGTGGGTTGTCTTTCTAATTTTAAAAATTTCTAGAGAATATAGCAATGTCCAGCTGATTTCCTCCCTTAACTCATGGTTGCGTATAAACCTGATAAGCTACGTAAACCCATATTTTGATTCATATCAGTCACTAACCAATAAAAACATCTCCATAGTCCTGAAAAGTATTGAATCAATATCACTACAATGTCATAAAGCCATAAAAATGGATACACTTCTAACCATAACTCTGTGACGCATAAAATATATAAACCTGAAGTTCATTTGACCTAAAAAGTTTATCAACAATCAAATAAATAAATAATGAGTCGACCATAACATTAATTTGACCTTAATGGCCTTAATATTATTTCTCCAACGAATAGGTGTATGTGAGTGACAGACAAGAGAATAAGCTTTTTTTGGCACAGGTATGCGGTAATTATTTGCTACTCATCATAATCCTAAACCATTGCAAAATGAAGCAATTCAGAAATAGTTCATTCGTTTTTTCGACGATAACTTGTCCTTATATCTTGATGACGAGTATAGTTTATGCCTTAACATGAATCTTGTCAAAATATAATTTCAAACATAATAATAGGCCTTTCACACCTTGAAAGTAGGGCTGGAGGTCTTTTTCCACAGTTATGTAATAATTACTGCGGTTCTGCTGGCAAATTATGTCTACTGTCCATTATTTTCAGCTTCCTTGTTTAACTATCTGAAAATCCTTGAGTTCGGAAGTATATGTAATACAGTGTAACCCCATTACCCTGAGATAGTCGAAGATATACAACACTTCAACGTAACACAGATGGTTACTCATTAAGTTCATACCTTCAGAAAAATTGACCCAGTTTTTAGAAGTTCTGTAAGTAATGAACCGGGCTATATAGTACTGAATGCTTGAGTGGCTGACTGGTATGACTTTGATTTTCTGTAAGAGAGTTAGATTTTAAATGTTGCGGAAGCAAATAAATGATGAGTGCTATCATTCACAAAGCTTAGGCCCAGTATTCCGTATTGATTTCCTTCAACAACCCAACACTAAATACACTATGTCGCAAAGTCAAGCTACTTTAAATGGTGACCATACAGTAAACCTCAGTGATAGAGTTCAGTCAGTACAACTTGACTTAATTTTGTAGTAGAGATTTATGGAAGTTAAGCTTGAGTTTGTTTGAAACCCCTACATGACAGTTTGACTTTGGCAAGGAGCATCTTACATTAAGTTTTCAGAAGTGTAAAATTAATATGAAACGCAATTAAGACATTATGGTCATAAGACTTTCTTTATTTGTCATCGACTACACTGCGAAAAACCAGGCATATAAGACATACCATTAGTTTTACCAGTCACCGGATTTTTTTCATAAAGCGAAACAGATAATCCATGTGCTTTCCGATTTTCCATTGTTTCCCAGTGATTAAAAGGAACTGTAAGAAATCAAAAGAAAATATTATTTTTTTTGCATTGATATTACTATCTGACAGAGGAACAAATAGTGATTGATAGCAGTTAAGTGATGCCAATAAGTATTTTTTTTTTCAATGTAGCCACTTCAGTAGTCACCACAGTTATGACAGATGGCAGCGTCAATATCGAGAATAATATATTAGATTACTATTTAAGCCCTAAGTATGTATAATTTGGCTATGCTTTACAAAAACAAAATCCATGTAAGTAGGCTGGTGTTACTTAACGTACTAACCGTGTTGCCTGAAAAATCCTCAGATTTATAACAAAAAGAGTTCTGAAAATGTGATGAGTATTATCCTTGTAAGCAGGAAGAAAGGGAACCTTTGCATATTATCAGTTAAGTAGGGAGAAATATGCAAATCCAAATCAAACCAATAAATATCATTGTCTCCACAACTGTCTGGTGAGTAGTAATCTACTGAAACGGGAGTGTTTACATAGGTAAATTCATTAAACATCAAGATTGGTACAGTACTACGTGAGCCAGATTATCACAGTCCTTAATAGATTGGGTGAAAAACAAAGGTTGCAAGTAAAAAGCTGCCATTGGCACAAACATACGCCAAACAGATTGAAAAGTGTAAAGCAATAAAATGGAAATTAGTATATCACTAATAACGATGCGCAGTTATGTCTTTCAAGGTGTGACCGATGGATGAGTCTTGCTGTCAAGGTAACTTATTTAAGCAGTGTGTACTTCCTTATGTAACTTGAAACAATGGCCTATGACTTATTTAGGTTACCAAAACAAGCCTATTTCTTGCCACGTTTTACTAGTTTCTCTTCTGAAGGTTTCAGTGTTGTCATCGAAACAATGTATTGTCACTAAATTTTTTACGGTACCAAGTTTACGGCCTTTTGGACAACAGTCACTCTTTTGGAATACTTACGAGGAAGCTCATCTCTTTCCCAATTGCTTAAAAACTAAAGATACTTAACTCTTCTAAATATAAAGACACATTAGAAACGATTTTTCATGAAATACGCTTTGTATAGGAGATTTTCATTCACACTCTGAGTCCGAAGTTTTTTTAGTAAGCAACACCTTTCATACAAAATAATGTACTGGTATAGCTTATTTTATTGATGTACCCATTGTTGTTTCTCAGCTGCTACTAACTGGAGACTCTTTACTCTTTGACCTATAGTTAATTTAATGGTGAAATTATTTCTACAGTTTCAGCCAAAATTTTCTTGTTCTTAATCAACCGTTGGCTATCATTCGGTAATTTGTTAGCTGTACTCATTCAGCACCTTAAACATAGTCAGAATTCTATTTCTCAGTTGATAAGTTCCACTAAAGGTCCTCATCAACACCGAATATGGCTTGTACAAGTAAGTTTTTATTCCTCGTAGACTGCGTCACTTAAGGGTCACTATGTGACAAGTTTAAATCAGTTATGTTTAAGTCATAAATTTTTTGATTAGAAATGACACTAACAGCCAGGCGAGGCTTGCGAGTTGGGTTGCCATAACTTTTCACATATATGAGGGCTGAGCGAGTCTGTTACGTTGCATGAGGCAGTTTTAATTAAGGTATGATTGTGAGTACTACTGTACAACATCAAGTAGCTGCTGATCATTTGATTTCAATATGCCAAAATAGAGGATTCAATTCAAATAAAAGTAATGAAGATTCACGCGGATAACAATATGGTCTGCATCCCGGAATCACAGTCTACTTTGGTAAATCATCCGCTCGTGAGTTAAAAATCACAATTAGTTGTCCTGCAATTCAAATTTGAAGTATCGGAGATCCAGATCTACAGTATTCAAGCTAAGCTAAGTAGATATATGTCAAAGGAATTATCAGGTTATGTAAAGAATAAATGACTACTGAAATTTGTTGGTTTTCTAAGGGTTGACAGAGGGCCGGAAACATGTCAAACTATTAACTTATTAAGAGTTACCTATCACGTTGGTTAGATGGCAAAGGTGGTGACTGTTGCCAAACGTTACTACAGTAGTCAATCTTATGTGCTCCACAAGACTTCTGTTCTATGTTTCTGTCAGATATGATTTACAAAACAAATGTTATTCATTTATGACTGTCTAAGTGACTAGCTTAGAACGTGGAAGAGTAACCACTACAAGCTAAGAATGTCATGAATGTCCTGTAAGCAGACTGCAATTTTAAACTTACGCATACCACCTTCCTTTGGCACTTTTGTTCATTACTACACATAAATATGACAAGTTTTTTGAATACTTTAGGATCAGTCCTTCATGTAAATCAGCTTAGCATTCAAATAACGAATAGCTGACTGAATTTTCTGTTATTCTTTCAGTTAGTGCCGCTAATTCGAGTTGTCACTGGCATACTGTCCACATTTCCTAATATGCTGATGACATATTTACAAGTGTTGTCAAATGGTATTCATCAATATTCAAATCGGTTTACTGAAACAAGCGTGCTCCATGAAGTTACTTAAAATGTACTCGAGAAAATTAGATTAATTGTCACTCGTACACAACTGCTTTCTTCCAGAAAACTTTTTGACAAAATATAGTTTTGGGTACCAGATGTGGGCAAGAAATATCCTTAAGTCAAACAAAACAAGAGCTCTCATACTCGATGTAATGGCTACAAAAGATCACGTTTGATGTATTTGTGTTGCTTACGACTCGTTAAGAGAATGTGAAAGTATACAACTGTTAACCACTTCATATTTTATACAATTTATCCCAAATCGATCTCATACACACTTACTACCAAATTTCAGTTACTCCACAATATTTGAATAAAAAGCCATTGTGACAATTTTAGCTTTTTTAAACTTATAGTAAGTCTTCTGAGCTAAAGAATACTGCAGGAACAAGAAAAGGGTTGGGTTTATGCTTGTGGTAATGATCTTCTTACAACAAATAGATGTTTAGAGCATTTGAAGATTTTGCAAATGCTTGTATTAGTTTGCGGTAGTTATCACTTCCTACAACTTCATTATTAGTATCTTATAATTTGGATATTTTAGGTATCCTTATAGGTATTCAAAGTAGTGAACCACTGATACACAAGGGTGAAGCTTTTGCTAATCTTCCTGAATGTGAACAAGGAAATGGAATGTGACGATCTCTTCTTCTGTTTGATTTCTACAGACGCTTAGCTATTACATAAAACTATGCTTCTGAAATGTAAAAATTGGGATTCTGACTTGTCTTTCGAGGAATCTTCAACCATTCAGAATGCAAACACCAGTTCTATCAAGCAAATCCATACCTTCTGATTCAAAACCTAATCCAAACACACGACTTATTCTACACATCGATACATCTTTCAGCAACTGCCAGTGTCACAAGAAAACATTAAAGACGGTGTCATACTATAAGCATTATTCTATGAAAAGACATTTATGCAGTCATGGTGACAAAAAGCACCATTACGCGTTAAAAATACTTGTTAAATTTGATTAATTTAACGGATATTTCACAGGTATATGTCCATGTGAATGAGGCGTACTTGTTGTGCAATGACTGAGCATACATTTTCACTGAGACTGGCCTGCATACAGAGTATGCAAATGCTTCAATAAGCAGTAACACTTCAGCTGAAAGCATTGCTTTACTAGTGTTCAGTTGTTAAATCCCTAACAACAGTTTTCTTTATACATTCATTTCTGACAAAAAACTCCAGTTTTAATCAATATTTTTTCGGAAATTCCCAGATAATGTGTCCACCACCGAAACAGAACATAATACCATCTAACAACTAGTGATTCAGTGAAGAAAACCAAAATTAACTCAGAATCTTGCAAAATATTGTTTAACTCTTGAGCAGAGCAAAGTTTTAACTTCTACAATACTCATTATCTACTATGTACTTGAAAAAACCTAGTGTACACGAACCCAGTTACTGAATGTTATGAGTTTAGTCGTGAGGAGTTGACTAATAAATCTGAAGGATAATAATCTCCGAAGCCCTACTGCATTCAGTAACTAGCCTACTCAGAAATTTCAGCTTTTGTAATAAAATGCACTGTGGGAGAATCGTTATCATAAACAGGAGAAAAGAAGGTTTCTTATTGTCAATTTGTTTTTATGCTTTAAGTCAGTGGAACAACGTAAGTGCTTTCTTTCGTACGTAATACTATAAGACGCTGATAAATATATTTTATGATAAGAAGTGGAGAGGATAAAATTATTTCGGCTGTTTACCTCAACTTTTCTTGTTTTTCAGAATGAATATATTAACTCAGCTACAACGCTTTCAGAATTATATCAGGCTACTAAAAATTAGAAGACGATTCAGTGACAACAGCTGTGCGTCGTTTAGACTTACTAAGCCAAATGAACTAAACACTCACTTTCATTATCTTCGGTCTTTATTTTATGCCATTTCTTTGCAGTTAACAGGCCTTTCTTTGGACCTGTAACAGAAGCGAAAAGTTCATCAGACAGACTGTAAGTTGGCATTGTTGGGTAAACAGATGCATCGGGCAATTCTTGAGGACACAGGGCACGCCACACATCACATTTAGAAGCGGGATGGTAAAACTGGTCCTCCAATTGGTATAGCTTAGGTGACATGTATCGGGATTCATGTGTATCCGAAATTGATGTCCGAACACGTCTCAGAGCCAAGAGACCATCTTTAAAGCTCCACGATTTGGCTAACTTTGGTCTGTTTGAATTCATACCAAATTGATCTATAGACTTGGCAGACCTAAAAAGGTTCGTAAAAAGCAGTTAGAATAGCAGACAAATGAAATTACGTTGCTACTCCCTAACCAAAGCCCACTCTTCTCACATCAAAGTCGTTTTATTGTATGTTATACACTGAAACAGTATTATTCACCGGTTGAATCGGGTCAACTGAGTTAGCAGAAAATATGAACCTAGTTAAACTTAGGACCATAGACTCTGTTGAGATAAAAAAAATCTAAAAAATTAGCCCAGCCATAGCCATGCATGCTGTAAAACAACTGCCTAGTAGAGTCGGAGAGAGTGACAATCTGCAAATATAATCTAGATAGATGTAAAGAGATCGATAACTGACTCTGTTTATTGAACCGATACCTGACACATGTAACAGAAGTGGTCCAGCACAGATTGTGGATATGCGGAAAATTTCGCTACCAATTAATATTGGAGAATGAACATTATAGAAATATAAAAACTAGACCAAAAAGCTATTTGATAATCTTGATATTATTATGATAAATTCTGCGCAAAACACTAACCAGTAAACAATATTGTTACATATAATAAAAATAACTATAGTGGAGCTATAATCTACCACAGTGCTCGGATTCTACGTTTACGCCTCCATTCTTCCTATTCTGGTGAAAAAAGTGAGATCCAGAATCAAGTGCTTGCAAGATGTATGGTATAAAGTGAGAATATCATAAGTAATTGAAATCCCATTTTGAAATTGCAGCGTCATTTTTTTGAGAATCGAATAACATTCACTCTTCTTATTTTGACAGTAAGAACTGTAGCTAGATAAATATGCGATACTTAGTGCAATCTCATATGGACGAGAAGACCATTTAAATCCCGGCCAAAACGTGTACTACCCGATGTATTTTCAAAATGTGATGTAATCACATCACCAGAAACATTTTTAATCAAGTAGATGGCGCCCCTTGATTACTTAATTTTGATTAATGTTAAGGTGGTTGATCAGGGAGCCGAGTATGTCATAATTCAGTGATTTCCATGAACTCCTTTATGATGCTTGGTTGAGTACTTTTCATAGACAAACAACACCAAATCAAGTAAAAAATATAGTGGATCTTGTCAGGTATCGGTAATAGCGGTGATATATTACAAGTATGTCAACTACCACGCAGTCATACTCAATAAAGATGCACCTAAGACACATACTTGACTTCTAGTTTGCATACAACAGGTATAGCTTGCAGCTTGGTAAATGATTATATTATTCTCACAAGTGACATTGGTTTCAATTTGTAGCGTTGCTAACCCTTTTAAGCAGCTGACCAGAATTAGTGTGGTTTGAATGGCTGGACTCTCCAAACAATTTTAAGTCGGGAAAACTACGAATTTTACCGTTTTCAGAAGAATGTAACGATAGTTTTGAGTTACTTTCACTTCCTTTTGGCTGAGAACCATTAATTATTGGTTGCTGATTTATCGCATGGCAACTAACGCTTCTTACCCTCCAACAGTTTATTGCTGGAATGTATAAAACTATCTCGTGTTTATTCAGCAGACTAGCTTCTTCAACAAACTCCATTTGAAAAAGTCTTTGATAAAACATATTTTGCGACATAGTTTTAAACAATAAGTTCACTAAAACTGTTGTCTGCACTTTAAATGTGCTTTAACTATTGTTTGACGGATAGATATTTACATGCAATTAACAGGTTTACTCACTTAGTAACCGACTTCTGGTCACTTAAGGCAGCACTGCTATATACGTGAACTAAGCTAAACTCGATAGCAGTAGGTTAACCATGCAATCATACTGTTAACTACGAGTGACTAAGTAATATAAAGTTCCTGCACGTTGCCTCTGGCAATAAAATGACCCAACTGAACATAGTTTTTACTTGCTAAAGGCTATGAGGTAAAGATATTGTCCAACAGCTTGTGACGTAACTAAGTTTTCCAGACCGAAGTGCAGGTGGAACTCGAACCCACGGATCATTGCTTAAAATAAAAGTGCTTAATCTAATAATCGACACTATCGTCGGCTTTGCACAGTGCATCATTAAAATTTCAAGAAGTCTAAAGCCGTAGACCCTGAAGGCTTATCAGTTATTATCTACAGCTCGAGAAAATTTGTATCCAACCGAAAACTGAAATCACTGTAAATGAAATGTCAGTATATTCACTGCGGTAAGTTTGTTCACTTCATGACCAAAAACGTAGGTAAGAAACTTATCAACATAGAGTAAAACTTCACACAAAAGTGAAATAGCCTGATTTACAATACCGTTTCACATATCAGGCCATGAAAATCAACATAACATGAAGGTATTTCTAATAAATACATGAGAGTGAAATAAACAAGGGGCTTCAGGGTCAAAGTAAACTTGTTCCGACGAAAACTAGATTAGGTTCAACAAAGTGATACCATAAAGTATCCCTAAATCATTCATCTTACGGTGCAAGAAAGTGAGTATGTTACACAAACAGTACATTGACAGTTAGTATTTCATTCCATTAATTTTATGATGGTAAGAACACATTAACAAAAGCAAAATAATATTGTATATAAACGACCAACTTAAAGGACCTCAAACAAATAAGGAAGAGAGTTCAACAAAAGTGGATTAATAGCTAAGATGGAAGTTTAAAACTACTCAGGTTATTTAAAAGTGAAAGTGGAGGTCAAGAGATGTCCAATTTAAGATAATAATGCAACATAAAACGACAACAATGAAAGGATAGTGGGAAGAAACGGGAATGGTTTGCCAAGGAAGCCGTTTCAAAAGTTTATCCAAATAAGCATTGGCTATTTTCATCTTAAATTTCAGCAAAAGAAGAAGCAAAAAGCTGCAGCATGATCATCACTATCTTCAACTCCAAAGCACTTATTTATTCGTCTCTTACCACGTAGTTGCATGACATCTTGGAACCCACTCAGGGAGTCCTAAGTTACTTACAGACACTAACCTAGCACGCCTTTGCTTTGTCCCGTAGCGCCGAGTCATAAAAGATCATCACTCTGCTTGTTCCAGTCAACCCCAGGGCAAGCGATTAGCCACTGGTGTAAGATCAGCTAAGACTACAGCTGCAATACATTTCCAAGCTACCGAAGATGGTCTTCAAAGATTGTCACTCTGAATGACTGACGACCTCCATTACAACCAAAAAGATGATATCTTACCTTAGATTTACTTACAAGCTCCTGGGACAATGGTTGTCGAAAACGCAGACAACAGACATCCTCAGCAAGGAGGCAGGTTCCAAGTTTATAAAGCAGAATCGTCCATATCAAAACTCTTTACATCCTACTCTCTACAATAAAGTGAAGTCATAACTATATCTAATAATATACAGATTGGTTTATACTGATCTACGTTTTGATATACTGTTGTGAATGTTACCTCCTCAAGTACTCGCATAACTACTGATGTACGTAAAGGTCTCGTTAGATCCCAACCATACATTATCAAGGTCTATTGTGGCCACAGTTTCTTGCCAATCTTATAGAGGTAATTTGTATTTTCACAGACTGTAGTACATATCATACCTATAAACACTAATCGCTGACTAGATGCATGTCATTTACCTAATCTTTTGAAGGCCAGAAATCTCAAATATGACTTCCGTTGTGCTTGGCTACATTTGCGGGTTTAACAAAATCAGAGCATTCAAAATACTGACTACTGTGTGAAATGAACATTCATGCAAAGCGTTTTTGAAAGTCCGTAACTGCCTGTACAAAAATACGGTTTACAATTGTAAGTAGAACCAGATCATTCACAATGTAACATGATACACTTATACGCTTGACTACCTGACTTCATCTAAGGTGAGCCACTAGAACTAAGCAACATGTTCAAAGGGCATTAATGCAAACAGATTTCAGCAAAATATGTGTCACCACAATGATATTAAACATTAAATAAATATGGTATGAAAAAATGCGAAGTAATAAAAACTGTGAACTTTCGACTTACTAAACATCCAAAATTCTCCAAAAGGTGGAATTGAATAGTTTTGGAGAGACTAGTGGACCAAATATTAGAGATCTTTTTAATATAGTGGATAAAAAAGTTACGAAATATTATAAGGCTGAAAACAATAGGCTAAAGCAGGCTATCAAAGGCCGCTAGATAAGTTTTTGGCAGCATTTTTACGAAGAAAAACAAGCCAAAACGGAAATATAAAGAAATTTATAAAAGTACCTTCATTTTGAATTACTGAAGAGATAAATCTCAGAAAAGTTAAGGCTTTCTAACTCTTAAAAGTGGTAATGGGGCAAAGCAAACACATGTATTTTAGTAAATTCAGCGGGTTTTGTAGAGGCTATGTCCTACTTATTTCTTTTCCACACAGGATTGAATTAGATCTCGGTTAATTATTCTTCTTATGTACATAACACAAGCGGAAATATCAATTTTTTTTTGTCAAAGTTAGCTATTCTCTGAATTCTACACTTACTTTTGAAAGTGCTCTCAGTTTTCTGCTTAGATAAAATAAAGAGTAAATAGCTTCTGCAAACATCTTGAACGGCAGTTACCTTATAAATAATGTCTGGTTCAACTTTGCCAAACTAAAAGTCAGATTCAGTAGTACCCTTGCTTTCAAATGACTTTCTAAATTCAGAAAGCTACTTTGAGAAATTAATGGTGAAGAATGGTAACGAAACACTTCTCACTTCGCAAGCAAGTGAATTAGGACGCACAGACACAGCTTCCTCAAAATAAGGAGCAGAGAAAAGTTAACTAGAAATATAACCGTGGAGGACATAATGAATGAGCATGAAATTTATCATGTGCGGTGATAAATATACACTTACAAGTTTACTGTATTCATATGACTATGATATCAAGCAGAACTCGGGGAGGATGTGGATCTGAGTGCAAAAGCATTAATTATTGTGAATCAAAAATTACAAACAAGAGAAAGCCAAACTATGAAGAGTTATAGCACCTAAATCTTGCACACAAAGTCGTGTTGCTACTTATAGGTACTGATTAGCAAATAAACTTGAAATAATTAAAAGACTGAATATTTATGAACCTTTTGACACTCATGGCGAAATATTCAACTACAAGAAGCTCATATTCATACATAAGGTGAATCTCATTGCATTAACTAATGAAGTCAGATTTGTATTGCAAACATATGCAACACAAAACAATAACGAACCCAGTACCAGAGACCAATGCCTCCAGATAGTGAAAGTGAATCAGTAAATAAACTATATGACTGTCCCTTTCTGTTTATCAGACAACATTATCACGTAACATTGAGATGGAAATTCATTGTATTGCTTCAGTTCAAGGACATATTTAAGGTTGTTTGATGTAAACAAACAACTTTGTGGTGTTTTCTCGGCAGTTTTCAGAAACACTTTACGACATGTGAAAACTCCACCAACAGCCTTGAGTAGATGAAAACCTTCCAAACCGTAGGGAATAGTGGCAATTGCTAGCCAACTTTTAAAACGCAAACAGTGCAAGTAGAGGAGACTGAAGGGTTTTGATCTCTCATACCTGGTTTTTAGGCCTGATTCTTGTCACTCAGTTCGCTACTGTGGCTGGCTAGGAAATCCATTCCACCCTTCTCCTTTCAGCCCCGATGAAACCGATGCTTCTATGGGTTGGTATTTATAACTTATGTAGTGAGTTGGTTAAGAAGTTACGGACTACTGAGAAGATTAGAGGGTCTTTCTTGACCCCTATCTGCCTAGATGGAATGGCAGATTAGTGAGCAAAATGTGTTTGGGATCTATTCGAGAGGTAAAAGTATATAATATGGGTCTAGTTACTGGAGAAGAGCTAATAAATGGTGGAGATGTATCAGAAACAGAGAGGTGATGAATGGCAAATAAGTGAGTGGTAGTGGTTGAAATGGAGCGAAACAAAATGAACGTAAGGAAGAGCCGGATGTCTGAAATGTGTGCGTGAACACGGTTAGTAAGGCCCAGGGCAGTGAAATGGACCTCAGAAACCGTTTTTCCACACAAAGTTCTGGTGTAAGATTGCCCGCTATCAGGAAGGCTTCCGTGAAGAAAGTAGATGTATGCGTGCACGCTTCAGTAACTTTTACTTGACCTTGTGAATGATTTCCCTGTTCCGACTCATTTTCTTCCCTCGTAACAGCTTTGCTTCACCCAATTACCATCACAACGTTTCGTTCGGCTGATATCCATAATTATTATTTTATCGAATTTCAAATAAAATTACGTCACTTTCACTTGCCCATTTGCCTCCTATTTCGCGTCGTTGACCTTTGTTCCCCTAAACCTTCCAGTTCGTTCGATGATTCATGAAATATTGTCCCCCCTTGCAGTAATGCACTTCATGATTCCGCTCATTGGAAAAATGAGCGAGTTTGCAACTGTCCAAATGAACTAGTTTTTGAGAGGTATTTTGCAGCTTCTGGGAGTGAAATAGCTGCTGAGGCAAAATTCCGTTATCAAAATCCCTGCTTTATGCCCTGATGTTGATTTTTAATTTAACTACCCGATTACTTATTCAGTTTGCTATAGGTAATGCAACTATAAGGTGTTATAAAGACAGCATATGGCTGCTTCGGTATAATATATGAGTACCAACACGCTACACGTGCGTGTCAAACTCTTTCTGAAAACAGTTTCTTGAGACCGGGACTTTCATATTTTACGTACTGTAACTGCCAGGGAGTTGTTGCGGATCAACGGACGTGCTGCTTCATCCTCTGATTTAATGGACCAACCTCTAGGTTGACGTCTATTAAAGTTCAAGGGTCATACCTTAGGATGAAGGGAGGATGAGTGACACGATACACCATGATAATGTGCCTCACTGGTTTCCCTGCAATGTGCCGGGTGCAGCTCAGGATTAATTTAGTGCTCCATATACGCTTCATGCCGTAGTCCAGTCACTTTTTTCGTGGGCCCTCTTAACCAATTCAAGAATGGTATTGTCCTCCCGGCATACAGAAATAATAAGCAAACTTTTCTGCCGATGAGGACGAATTTTTTGTCCATATACAATAGTGAAAAGACCCAGAGCTGGAAACTCTAGACTGTGTGAGGGGAAATCCAGAACTCCATACGTTTTGTTGGCTGCTATGTGACAGCGGACAGAAGCTCCAGCTGTGCTACTCCGAGCAGTCTGTATAAATCCCTCCAGTATTTAGGAGACATTCACCTCTCTTAGGCGGTGGGAACCAGAATTATGCCGATATTTGTCCACTTCCATAATTGTAGTGGGGAGGGAATTCCGTCCTACGTAACTGATGCATGAATATTGTTCCAGAAGTTTATTTGTTCTAGGCCCTCACCAGTGTAATCGGTATTAAATAACTTCCTGGAGTGTATGGAGCTGCAGTTAAGAATTTTCCATTCACTGTTAGCAGTTGTCGTCATCGTTCGACGTCCATACCCTAACAAGTGAGACACTAGTATGTGGATACTTTGTATACGACTGAGACAAAGTAGATATTACAGATGGCTACCTTACTAAGGTTTGGGTGAAATTAACATGATAGACGGTTATTTGGTTGTAGCAGCAACAGTCGAGCATATCGGTCTCCATAACGTAGTATCAGGGAGACTAAGTCTGTATTACAAGCCAGATTTCATTGCAACGCTTCAACCCCTTTGGCCCCTGCAAAACCCTTATACCACAAGCCATCACACAGAAAACTTGACCCAATAGCCCAGCGGACGGATGTATGTCTGTTTAAGTCGCATTTCTCAAGGTGAAAGGACCAAGTGAACTACAGCTAACGGCTCATGCAGCAGGCTCACCGACATTTATTCCGAATTTTTCTTTCATTGAGATGGAAAGAAGGCAGTATGGGAACTTCAATTATTGAAACCTGGGTTAAACACTAATAACCGAATAATGTAGTAGTGAGCCGTGAAGGTCAAGTGACCGAGGGTGTGAGAATGAAAACCAAGAAAGCTGCTTTGACCAACCCGAAGTTCGGCTTTTTGTTATCTGACGTGGGAGATGCCATCCTTAAGCTCCTCCCAGTATTCCAAACTTTCTCAGAGACAGGTTAGGAAGTATACAGTTATTTATTGCCGATTATCGTTAGTCTATAAGACTGAAAGAGGTTGCACTTAGTCGCCTCCGCATGAGTTTAGTTGGTATTAAACACTTTATGCACTCTCAGAAGACAGCTACTGTACTAAAGCCATCTTCACCAGATTAGCATTCACAGGTGGAACGGTTATACGGTTAAGGATTAGAACGCTTTGTTCAGCTATTCAGCTCACTTACCGCACTGCTGTTTTGGTTAAAGACCTGGAACACAATGTTCTTCAGAGTACCAGCAACTGAAGACTGAAATTCCGCTAACTACGCACCACACCATATCTTGGAAGCTCACCTCCAGCTGTACAGACACTTATATGGGTAGAAAGACCAGGATGGCACCGCCTTACGGCAAAAAATGAATCTCCCTGGACTGTGAGGACTGCCAACACCTCTGACATGTCATGCCAGTAGCAACGTGCATAAATTCTTGCTTCTGTAAGCGATTCAAAACATTTGTTTTATCGGGCTATTAGCGCTATCACCAGTTGCAACTTCTCCTTCTTCTGTGCTTACATAAGTCATGGGGAAATTGCAAATGAATTTTTTGCACCGAAACTAAGGGAAAAACCTCAACTGTTGACTTGCGTTCAAAATGAAGAGGCAAGTCTTGGAGAAGTTTTTAATCAACCGTTCAACTGGATGATTTCAAAACTTTTGCCAAGCTAGTGTTTACGTGACGCTGGTGCAAATTCAGTTACAACGAGAACATGCTTTGATGGTCAGCTACACACTGTTAAAGCCATCTCACTTTCACAGGTAAAAACTAATAGGATACACTGCTTCACTAATAACCCACAAGAGCAGCTGCTACTTTGTGATAACACGATCGTGAGGTAACAGTAAACTTCAGACAGCTTAGTCACGGCACTGGTACTAATGACAATCAAAATGAAATACACTCAACAATAAGGAGATGAACGGATTCTTCGCGTATAGCTAAGAGTAATTTGAAGATGGTGACGAAAGAAATTTTTTCCAAGTGATATATGTAATTTCCAAATACAAACCCCGGGTCGCTCTTGTCAAAGCAAAGACAATACTTCCACTCGTCCTCACGAACTTTTGCACACTTATTCTGCTGGGATGCTTCCGTACATAAGCATGGAGCATTTACATCCTCCAGTGACGGAGTAAGTGGGGACTGAGATTAATTACCACAGAGGTACTTGTAAGTTATGTTGATTATTATTCGCACCCTTGAAAATGGTGTACGCGTGTTTATTCAAGAGTAAATAATACCATCATTATCACCATCATGACGTTTCTGTAGACACTTTTGGAAAAACCAACCAACCAAATGATAACGAGAATTGATAAAGAGTAGGCCTTCTTACCACTTAATGGTGATTTTTATTCTTGAATTTACAATCGCGCACCATTTTCACTGGTGTGAATAATAATCTGCATAACTTACAAGTACCTCTATGGCAATTGATTTTAATCCCCACTTACTCCGTCACTGGAGGATGTAAATGCTCCATGCTTATGTACAGAAGCATCCCAGCAGAATAAGTGTGCAGAAGTTTTTGAGGACGGGTGGAAGTATTGTCCCTGCGTTAATAAGAGCGACCGGGGTTTGGATCTGCGAGTTACATGTATCACTTGAAGGAGAAAGAATCTTAAAGCTTAAACTTCCACTGTCACACCATGCGCTCCTACTTAGGACAATGAGAAATTCATGAAGATATATATACAAGTTGTTTATTTGTTGTACCTGAGTGATTATTCAAAAACTTTATAGTTCATCTATGCTCATATCCGTTCACACCTATGCTTCATAATCTTGCTGAATATTACGACTGACATTTATACATCTGCATTTTTCAGCTCCAGCATCCAGAAGTAACAGACTTGTTTGAACGCGTCAAGTGGGCATCCAGAACATCTTGTCCGTCATTTTAACGGGTCGTGACAACCTTGCGGTTCGTAAGTGTTAATCTTTCCTGGTCACTTTCATGATCAGTGAATTCTTGCTTCCGACGATTATGAGGCAGCAGCTCAACGAACATTCTTTGTTTCTCTTTGTTGAAGTCAAGTATCGTGAATGCAGTAACACTGGCTCCCCTCCGTTGGAGGTTGTTTCAGCCAAGGCCTGCTCCTTCAATAGTTTACTTTCAGTGACAACCAAGCCAGCGAAAGAAACAGAGCAGAGCAGCAGACAGAGAAAGAAGTAAGAACTCCAACAAGGAGCTTGTTGTCCACGTACGTGTTTTTCCTTACTTTTTTCCATTGCTATGACTCCTGCTGTGCACAC